TGAAGCAGTCACAGCTATATATAACTCTCCTGTTTGTTGGCGTAGAATACTATCATTAATTTCTGTTCTTCTCCTAACTATTATAAGAGCCTTGAGTTTTAACAAAAAGGTTGAGAAGCGGTGGTCTAGTGTACCCTATATCCATCATTAAGCAAAACAGTGTCTGCAATTTGAGACTACGCTGAGGGCATACTGCATAGGCTCTGTAGTTTAGCTCCTCCAGATCCAGCTGGATAATGTTTGACTCACATAGCCAGAGACTCCAGGATGTGGTTCAAGAAGATAGCACAGATGGTAATGAGCGTGAGTGATGGATGGGTGGTAGACGAAATGGTTCTCTCTCTACACAGCTGAACATTAGGGAGTGATAGCATACAGTTATCTCCTCCAGACCATCATGTAGACCTTGGAAGAGAATGGATGGTCAAAAATAGCTGACACTCTCACTTGTGACTCATGGTGGTTTTGTTGGTGTGAATTCATCTCTCTTACCAAGGAGGATATTTGCTCTTACTAAATGTAATAGGAGTTAGGTTGGTCATGGGATAACAAATTATATTATCAAGACGAAGTTTAGGAAAGTAAAAAGAGAAAAAAATTATAAATAGCCAGCACACAAAAATATGCTTAAACATTTAATATTTTTAAAACATTAAATTGTGCATTTTGTTAAAAGTCTTAAATCTTCTTCTTATCGAGTCACTACACAAGTCCCGTCCAGTGGTCCACACAGGCTTTGGCACGGCAATTCACGGCTTCCAGGTCATCTTGGGTGCATGGCTCTGGCAGGAGTGGGCAGACTAGCAGTCTAAATTTAAAGTCTTAAATGTAGACCTATGTTCGCAGCCATATGTAAGACTGTATAAGCTTCCACTCGGATGTTTGAATTAAGAATGAATGTGACTCTGGATGAAGAGTGAAAACGGAACTGAAGCATGAATGTTGCCCCTCCATGCTACCTCCAAAACCACCAGTCTCTTCTAATCTATCCTTGACCTTAAATCATATGGGCCAATATTTGGGTGTAATTCTAGCTGGGAAGCAAACTTATTATTGATTAGAGTTCTTACTCTGTGTGACAGGGTAATATTTTGGCCTTTCATGGTTTGCTTTGTCAAGTGCAGAGAGAGCTTGTTTATTTTTCTTGTGGAACAAAGCCGTTGGTGCCAGATATCGGATTCCTATAATCCCAAAATAACTTGAACTTTTAAAGGTCATTTTTTATAAGTCTTTTTCAATGTTCCTCTGTGTGTTGGGAAAACATTGGTAAAATGGGAAGTGTTTTCACCTTAAAAAAAAGAAATCATGTTTCTTTTTCTCTGTCTCCATCTCTGTTATGTCTGTTTCATGCTGTCTGTCTGCCTCTTTCTCTCTTCCCCTCCCCCCCCCCCCTCTCTCTCTCTCTTCCTCTTTCTCTCTCTGGCTCTCTCTCTCTCTTTCTCTCTCTCTCTTTCTCTCTCTTTCTCTCTCTTTCTCTCTCTTTCTCTCTCTAGCTCTCTCTTTCTCTCTTCCTCTTCCTCTCTCATTTTTCTTTCTGTATCTCTCCCTCTTTCTCTTTTTCTTTTTTCTCTTACTTTATCTCTCTTCTTGTCTTAGGGTCTTCCTCCCTTTCCTTTCCATCCTTGATCCTTCCTTTCCCCTCTCTCCATCAGTCATCTGTATATCCCATGGTGTATTTTCTCCCTCCCCCCCCCCCTCTCTCTCTCTCTCTCTCTCTCTCCATCTCCATCTCTATGTCTTTAAAACCATAGGCTTTTAATCTAAAATGTTAATTCTTGTTATGATGCAGATAAGCAAGTCCATTGTAACCACAGAAAATCTATAGTATTGATCTCTCTTGGTCAGGAATCTCCCTGGAGGCGTTTGTAGCTGTTGATTGGGAAGGTGTTTTCACATCGAACATATTAGCGAGACGAAAGATGTATCGCATGAACCAGGCATGAGTCATGTGTAATGTGCGGAGAGCTTGCTCTGACTAATGAGATGCCTCTGCGTTTAGTGGCAAGGTGATGAGAGAGTCATCGGTGAGGGTGATGGGCAAGAGGGATAGCATCACTGGTAGGGGCTGGGGGTTGACTTGAAATTGTTTGAGAATATGTGGTGTTGCTAGGCAAAGAGTCATCGGGAGGATGAATGATGTGGGGGAATGATAGCATCACTGGTATATAGGGCTGGAGGGATGACTTGAAATTGTTTGAGAATATGTGGTGTTGCTAGGCAAAGAGTCGTCACGGGGGGGGGGGGAGGATGATGTGGAGGAATGATAGCATCACTGGTAGGAGGGGCTGGAGGGATGACTTGGATTTGTTTGAGAATATGTGGTGTTGCAAGGCAAAGAGTCATCAGGGGGGGGGAGGATGATGTGGAGGAATGATAGCATCACTGGTAGGAGGGGCTGGAGGGATGACTTGAATTTGTTTGAGAATACGTGGTGTTGCTAGGCAAAGAGTCGCCGGGGGGGGGGGGGGGGGTGAGGGTGATGGGGAAGAGGGATAGCATCACTGGTAGGGGCTGGAGGGATGACTTGAAATTGTTTGAGGGTATGTGGTGTTGCTAGGCAAAGAGCCAAAGATGGGGGAAGAGGGAGGAGGGTGGTAAGAAAAAGAGAGGAAGACAAGATATTCAGTTAAAAAGAGGATGAGTGAGAGGGATGCATTATCTGTATCATATCTGTATGTTAGTAGTTCCTTGTTCTTATATATTCAAAATGTGAGCTTCAAATGTTACTTCTGTAAAGAGATTTTCCTATTTTAAATACATTCTTTACATTTATACTTTACGCAACTGTGAGTGTGCATAAAATAGGGCCCACAAGGCTGTTTTATGTTTCTGTTTTTGTAATTTTCTTCAAACTCCTTATAGTAATTAGAATTCTAGGTAAAGTTTGTTGATGTTGATCTACACAAGTTACTTTTTAGGTGATTGATGCACTCTGTGTTGTTTCTATAAGCAGATAGCCAAGGATGCATGGAGGGAGAGAGGAAGGAAGACATGATACTAGATGTGAATGAAGGACTTATAGATGACTATGCAGAAGGATCACATCATTGGTAGGGGGAGAGAGAGTAATGATATTGTTTGATATTGTTGTCTGTCTTGTTGCTACATATAGAGAGGCATGCATGCTTGGAGAGAGAGATGGGAAGGATGGAAGGAGAGAGGGAGAAAGACGAGACGGATGGGGATGAGGGATATGGATAGCATTACTGGTAGGATCATGGAGATATAAGAATCTCCATGGTAGGATGGTGATGGAGAGATAACTTAACCATGTTTCTAAGGGGTCTGTGTTATTGCTAGGCAGATGGACAAAAAGAGAGGGGGCGAGAGGGAGGAAGACAAGACTGAATGTTATTATAAAACTAGAGTTGCATCAAGAGGGGTTTGAGTGATGACTTGACTGTGTCTGGTGTAAGGGTCTGTGTTGTTGCTAGCAGAGAGAGAAGGAGAGAGAGAGAGAGAGAGAGAGAGAGAGAGCCAAAGGGAGATGAGACTGGTGATGAGGGAGATGGATAGCATCACTGGAAGGAGGGGTGGAGTTAAGACTTGACTTTGTTTCACATTTTCGCTAGGGAAAGGGTCAAGGGCAGAGGGAGAGGAAAAGATAGGAGAAAGGGAGGAAGATGAGACTTTGAAAGTTGTAATAGATGATGGGGATAAGGAAGAGATATTGATCACTGGTAGAAGGGGATGGAGTTATGATTTGATTTTGTTAGAGTATCCATGGTGTTGCTCGGCAGAGGGCCAGGAATGGATGGAGAGAGAGGAGGATAGAAGAAAAATGGAGGAAGATTAGAAGAGGAGACTGAAAGTTAGGGTCTGGGTTGTTGCTAGCAGAGAGCTACGGAGCTACGGAGAGAGAGAGAGCCAAATGGAGATGAGTCTGGGGATAAGGAAGAGAGATCGCGTCACTAGTAGAATGGGTTTAAGTAATGACTTGACTGTGTCTGGTTTTAGGGTCTGTACTGTTGCTAGCAGAGAGCTACGGAGAGAAAGACGGTGAGAAAGAGAGAGAGAGAGAGAGAGCCAAAGGGAGATGAGTCTGGGGATGAGGGAAAAGGATAGCATCACGGGTAGAAGGGGTGGAGTCAAGACTTTGTTTTCAGGGTTTGTGTTGTTGCTAGGGAGAGGACAAGATAGAAGGAGAAAGGGAGGAAGATGAGACTATTAAAGTCGTATAATAGATGATGGGGATGAGGAAGAGAGATCGCATCACTGGTAGGAGGGGTGGACTCAAGACATGACTTTGTTTCAGGGTTTGTGTTGTTGCTAAAGAGAGGGTCAAGGGTGGAGGGAGATGAAAAGATGGAGGAGAAAGGGAGGAAGATGAGACTGGAAGTTGTAATAGATGACGGGATGAGGAAGAGAGATCCCATCACTGGTAGAGGGGATGGAGTGATGACTTGACCTTGTTTGAGGATCCATGGTATTGGATGGAGAGAGAGAGAGAAGCATGAAGGTAGGAAGAGGGAGAATTATGAGAATGAGGGATATGGATTGCATCACTGGTGGGGAAGAATGGAGTGATGACTGCAAGGAGTTATTACAGGGTCTGTGTTGTTGCTGTAGGCAGAGAGCCAAAGATGGAGGGAGAAAGAAAGAAAGATGAAAGGAGAGCCGAGAGGAGAGACAAAAATGTAATGTTTGTGTAGATGATGAGGATGAAGGATTGCATCACTTCGTCGCTGTTTTCACGAAGTGACGGTAGTGAAAAAAATTGCATTCACTTTGCGTTACGATTTTCCTCACTACCGTCACTTCGTGAAAACAAGGACGACTTGTAGTGATGATCTGACTTTGAGTATTTCTATTGTTGTTTACAAAGACATTTATGGAGGAAGGGGGATATGGTCGTAGTTGTCTGTGTGTATTAATGTTATGGTAGTCTAGGATAGGATTAGATTATTCACATGGGGGGCACCAGAAATTGGTTGAAGTATATGCCCCCCCCCCCCCCCCTACCCTTTAATTATTTTAAAAAACCATGAAAGCATTGACTGGGTGAATGATGTAAAGGAAAAATATACAAATTCAAAAACAAAAATTGAAGTGGTGGGAAGTCTATGTTTCTTCAACTGGTAAGGCATTAATCCAAGTCCCACAGGTATGACTTCAAGCCCGTCCAGGTCCCATGGTTTCTTGCCTACAAATTTGTTTTGTTAGGACTTGATATCAACAAAACACATTTTCTGAGAGTCAGGGAACAAAATCCTGAGGAGTCCCCTGAACCGAACTGGGAAGCCAGGCCTTCATTCAACAGCACCCTGCAAATACATGCATAGTCAGCAATGCAGAAACATGCTGATTGCATACACACAGGGATACACAAATCACTGTACACACACACAATACATGTAGCTAGTCACGTACAGTCACAGGAGTGCATACGAGGTATGACTATAGAAATTGGCTTTGGAAACACTTTTGTGTTGGGATGTGTGTATGTGCACTGACCATGCATGCATACACTGTAGCACGTTGGAACGAGGCACAGCATGCATGTGTCTAGGTAGTCATACCTGGTTGCAGCAAAGATAACTTCCTGGTTATGTGTTCAACTTCAAGCCTGCATCTTCAACTAAATTAGATGTTGCCTGCATGCTCTTTAGACATTAATTTGATCTGATCGTGTGACTAATCTATAGTATGATTGTTGGATCCCTGGTTATAACTCTGCAGGCTAGTGACTCTTTAATCAGCTTTGAGGGTGTATAATGTGTACATACAAACAGTAGCTGAACTATAGTCAGGATAGTGCTAACACGATGACTCATGTACTCAGGTAAGTCGACCAGGATGCAGATTCTCAGGAAATGATGATGATGATGATGATGATGATGATGATGATGATGATGATGATGATGATGATTGATGGCAATGATATAATATCATTAATAATAATTATGATAATTATGATGATAGGATAATAATATGATTATTAATAAGATTATTATAATTGTAATAATGGTAATATTATTATTATTATTAATGTTATTATTGTTATTAATATTATTGATATCATTATTAATTATCATATTTGCATCAATAATAGTTATGATAATAATAATGATAATATTAACAATAGCTAAACTGCAGAATCATTAGAAAGTTGAAAATCATTTTTTCTGTTTGTTTAGAGTCTAAATTAGAGAGTGTTGATATAGTTCCTGTACAAATTGTATAATGTTCCTCCTAATCTTTGAAATATAAAAGAAATGGTGAGACTAAATACTGTAATAGCATGTATTAACTGAATTTAACAGCGATGTTGAGAGGTGGGTGGGGGTGGGGGTCCTTGGAGTTCATTCCCCTCCACCATTTATATCCCCCCCCCCCCCCCCACCCTGAAAAGTACTGAAAAGTTCACAAAATAAGATTATACAGTACTTTCAATGCTTTGTGCAAATATAATGCCATCACACTTCCTTCACATACATGTATATTATATAAGCTCAAAACATTCCTGGTGCCCCTCCCCCCCCCCAAGAAAACAATAAGCCCACCCCCCCCCCCCTCGAAGAAATTTGAGATACAGCACTTATTTCAGTTATGAATTAACATTGTTTGTGTTTTAGAATGATGTTTGAGACTAAATATGGATTTTTTTTTTCTCTTTTTTTCAGATATCTTTTGATATTTGGTGAGCGCAAGAAGAAAGTGGAGTTCTCAGTGACCAAGGGGGTTGAGAATGTGAAGGTAATGACATTGAGGCAAGAAGCCATGGAACTTTTCAACCTCAAGAACGTCCTCCTCCAGATCTGGGACAAGGGTTTCGAAGACTGGGTCGACCTTGATGAGGGGGACCCCACTCCCACCAACAGCAGGGTCAAAGTCGAGGTCGACAAGGAAGCCATCAAAAGTGCGTTGGACATCAGTATAGCCAATAGGACGCCGTCCAAGCCAGCCACGGTCAATCCTACATGTACCTCGTTGGTTGGGACTCCTAAGCCTATTAAGCCTAAGGGATCGGAACCACCGAAGGTCCAAGTTCTGTCCTCCTATCCGATGGTGACCTTGACAAAAGGTGCACCAACCGCAAAGGCTCTACCTGCATTGGCTCTTATCAAACAACCTCAGGCTCCGGGAAAGCCTCGCAGGATACTGCCTGTTGCTCAAGTAAGAATATCCCAAACTCCTGTACGAACTTCCGAAGCTCCTGTGAGAACGCCCCAAGCTCCTGTACGAACGTCCCAAACTCCTGTAAGAACCGCCCAAGCTCCTGTGAGAACATCTGAAGCTCCTGTAAGAACGTCCCCAGCTCCTGTAAGAGCACCCCAAGCTCCTGGAAGAACGTCTCAAGCTCCCGGAAAAGCGTCCTCATCGTCTGCGGGCGAAACAATGGGAGCGAGACAAGATGTCAAGGATGATAGGTAAGCATTTTGACATCAATAAGATTGATAATATATGCCAGTTCACATGTGCTAAGCTGCATTGGTACAAGATGGTATAAGATGTGAAGTACGCTACACTGAAGTATGTTTAAAAACTCCGACAGTAAACCTCTGCGGCTTCAATACCCCGGCATAAGTGAACAAGCCTTTAAGAATTCAAATTGTGGTGTGTGTATACATGCATGTGCAACAATGAAGTGTCCAATGCTTTGGCAGTGGTCAAACTTCTTTTGATGACTGGAGAGAGAGAAAGAGAGGGAGAGAGAGAGAGAGAGGGGGGGGGGGACAGGTGGGGGGGGGGGGTGAAGGATGAGAAAGATGAGCAGCTGTATGTTGTCTGCTTGGAGCCAAAAGAATGTTAACTCTGGACAAAATGATGGGAATTCCGTCTCCAAGCAGACAATACAATGCTGGCCATACCAAAGTAGTACTATTTTCATTACAATCCTGCAGGTATATATATGATTTTTTTTCGTCGATGAATCTAACTACAATATTTCCCCTGTAATGTACAAATCAATGAGAGAATGATGTTGTGTCTCCTATTCTCTATTCTCATCAGCATTTTTGTAGAGCGTACAGTTTGCTTCTATATTCAAAGGAGAAATATAGTCATATATACTTTCATCATTTCATGCCCAGTTTTGCTTTCAAAACTATGCCCTAAATCGCATTTCTTCAAAAGACGTCACTTATGTTGGTTCCATTTTATATATTCTACCCGCTCTCAATCCAAGAGTTTCGCAGCTGCCGGTCGAATGCTCCCGTGGAGCTCTGTGGAGCGTTATGGAATGCACGTACCTAATCGGTACTTGGTGCAGTGATGAGATACAGTTGGCGTTGTGTGGAATAACGACTCGCCGTAACAAACCCATATACACACGCATCGCTCTCACACTGGCAGACATGGGATTCCCCAAACGGCCCTGGGACCGCGTCCGCGACAAGGTGAATCGCATGAAGTCGGAATACCGCAAGATCAGGAGACAGCTTTCGAGCGGGTTCGCACAAGATGAGATTGCTTTCCCAGCATGGTATTCTGAGATAGATGCAGTGTACGGATCAAAGTTAGCTTGCGAACTTCCGGACTTGGTGGGGAACGGTGATCGCGATGATTTGAGTTCGACCACGCTGGAGGATCAAGATGAAGCCGAGGATCCGATTAGTGAGGACGATGATAATTACAGTGCTGATTCTGGGACCAGGGATGCAGACAATCAAATTGGACACAGCAACGGAACTGAAAAAGGTTAGTTTGTTTTATTGATATTCCTTCGGGCTTCCTAATTCCCCAAATAAAAAGCCATATTTTTTCTTTTGTAATATATCACTCTGCTATCGTTACAACTTGATGTTGTTCTTCTTATTGCTATAACTTCACTCTATAAGGTAGATCTAGATCTACTCAATTAGATCTAGATCTACAATGATACATGTATTATATTAGCGTAATATATATATCTGTTAATGTTAATGATCATTATTTATGGCTTATCAGCTTGTTTCAATAAAGTTCTGGGAGTGGCTATTGTATTTACCATCTTCAGAGTCATAGAATCAACGTAATATCTGTTTTTGTATCCATGTTGTAATAAAGACAAATTTCACTTTTAAAAGTGGATCGAATGTACCTGTGTAAATATGGTTTAGGGCGCAGAGCTGTAAAATTGAGCTTATACCAAGTTTTGTTGGTGATAGCATCAACATGCTTATTCTCATTTAGTAAATTACTCAAGTCTCATCTGGTCCTCCAATAGTTTGAAAGAAAAAAAGGTATAATAAGAATATTTTTACCGTAAATCTCTGTGTATAAGGCGCACTTTTTTGTCGCCGAAAAAATTTGAAAGTCGGGGGTGCGTCTTATACACAGGTACAGAAAAAAAAGTTTTTTTTGTTTTTTTTAGTTTCGATTTATGGCGCTATGCCTGGCAATGTCTCCTAGCTCAGTAATCAGTGTGTTGACTCACCACTCGGAAACTACAACAACACTCAAATTTGTCTGTCATCTTGGTTTGAAAGTAATCTTTCTAATAGATCTCAATATGTAGTTTATAATAATAATTCCTCAATTTTTTTTTCTATAACAAATGGTGTACCACAAGGTTCTATCCTAGGTACTCCATTGTCAGAAATTTAGAGGATGCTATTCATATCATGCATGACTATTGATGTTTGGCACAGTGCTTCTGCTAGGTGATGTGATGAGGCTGGTGTGGGACACTTGGTATCATGAAGCCTTAGACTGTTGTTACTATTATTTATGACAAGTTCACAACTTCAACTGCACCTCGATGTAAAATGAAGGTCCTTCCCCTCGTGGGTTTTCGGCAACAAAACAACAACAACAACAAAACAAAAAACTTTTTTTTTTCTTTCTCCTCCCCAAAATAGGGGTGCGCCTTATACACAGGTGCGCCTTATACACGGAGATTTACGGTATTCATTTGCACCTTCAGTATATATTTGAATGGCTATATCAACACAAAAAAAAAAAAAAAAAAATGTAAATAAATATTTTTTAATTTTGTCACCACAAATATTTTGAGTAATCGGTTGCTTTTTAACCTTGTTTCCATAGCAACGGAAGAAACCATGGAGGATGAGTCTGGAGGGAACCTGAGTGAAGGCGATTCAAGAGGGAGCATCAATGGAGCTGGAGTGACAGGAGAAGGTGATGATGCTTGGATCGCTGAAGGTACAATATTACCCCCCCCCCCCCCAAAAGAAAAAAATAAAAAAAATAATATTAATAATAATAATAATAAATACTTATGAAAAAATAATAATAAATAAATGGATAGAGATAGATAGAGATATATAAATGAATTAATAAATAAGTTAGAAAAAGATTGTAAGACAATTTAGAGAAATGTAACACCATGAGTGCCCCTCAGCAGAGGTAACCCTGTTTTTTTTTTTTTTTTTTACATTTAATTTGTTTTCCCTCTATATTTTTATGGTATTTCCAAGAAAAATCTTCCCTGGAAAAACATAATATTTTACTTCTAGTAAAAATGGAAAATTCAAATTGATAATAGTGAAACAAAAACTAAAAATAGTTTTTAGGGAGATACTGGCACTGTACAAGAAACCATCATCTTCATTGGCACTTCATTTGCTACACATTAAAATGATGATGATGATCAATTTAATGGTAAGAACCTCTGTGAATTTCAAAAATCAGTGTCAGTCATAATTCAATAATTTTGGGAATGATAATAAGCAAACATGTTTTGCACCTACTAGTTTCTGATTTAATAATGATTGGTTCATTGTTGGATTTATGGAGCCTGTGTGGAGCTGGTGTTAAAAAAAGAATTGTTTTACTTGTAGATATATCTGAAAAGCCTGAAAATGAAAGTGATGATGATGATACTTTGGATGGCACAACAACAGACGAGAAAGGTTACATTTATCTCATTAAAAATCAATAGTAAAAAAAAAATCTGTTGTGAAAGAATTCTATTTTCCAATTGGCAACATTTTGTTTTCTGCTTCACATTAACATTCTTCAGATGTGATGCATTGCAACTTCATGTTCATGTAAATGTTACAGGCAGTACTAGAGAATATATCCAATCTGTAAAAAAAGACCTTGTTTGTGCTTTTATGATGCCAATTTAAAGATTTTTTGCTTGTTTTCTTAATAATGATAAAGATGATAATGATAATTGGTGATAGTGGTGGTGGTGGTGGTGGTGGTGGTGGTGGTGGTGGTGGTGGTGGTGGCGATGGTGGTGGTGGTGGTGATGATGGTGGTGGTGGTGGTGGTGGTGGTGATGATGATAGTGGTGGTGGTGGTGGTGATGATGATGATGATGATGGTGGTGGTGGTGGTGGTGGTGGTAGAGGTGGTGGTGATGATGATGATGGTGGTGGTGGTGGTGGTGGTGGTGGTGGTGGTGGTGGTGGTGGTGATGGCGATGGTGGTGGTGGTGGTGATGATGGTGGTGGTGGTGGTGGTGGTGGTGATGATGATAGTGGTGGTGGTCATAGGCGCCGGAAGTGGGGGGGCAGGGGGGGCAGTTGCCCCCCCAGTCAAAAAAGTGGGGGGGCAAAACGCATTTTTGCCCCCCAAAAACGCCCCCCCCCCCCTCCAAAAAAAAAAAAAAAAGCAGTAAAGGAATAAACATGGTTTGTATTTTTAACCCAAAAGAACATAACAATAATAAAAACCTGAATTAAAGCACATATACCATTCCATTCAAAGAAAAGGAAAGTTCACAGGAATTAAATTTTTATAAACATTGCGCATGCTACCTATACGGTTTATAATAGCGATACGCGCATATCGTGGACATATTGTGCGAGAATGGGAAAACGTGTCTGTTTTTTTGGTTTTGTTATAGGGGTGAGAAGACATGAGCCCCTGAACGCTGGCGTACTGATGGGGGGGGGGGGTATATCTATACGATACCAGTGATTTACACATGTTGCTGTTATGACATGATTTTCCGGTATTTTTTCTCCATTTTTTTTTAAGTCATACCTTTTTATGCGTTTGTTGGAAAATAAGAAATTCCCAAATTACAGTCGGGCGAAAAATACGCTTATTTAGAAGCCTTTATGACATGGTCTGCAAAGTGGCTGGGCTCGAGCCCCTCCCCCCTCACTTTTTGAAAAAGTATGTTAAAGAGAAAAAGAAAGAAAGACGGAGAGAAAAAATAAGTGACCTGCCAATGTCACAAATAAGGCATAAAAAATGCTCATCTGACCGTAATTAAATGCCTAAAACCCCAGAGCTTACGGGTGCTCCGCCCCCGGACCCCACCAAGGGCCCTAAGGCGGGCCCCTGGATGCTCATCTGACCGTAATTAAATACCTAAAACCCCTGAGCTTCCGGGGGCTCTGCCCCCTGGACCCCACCAAGGGCTCTAAGGCGGGCCCCTGGATGCTCATCTGACCGTAATTAAATACCTAAAACCCCTGAGCTTCCGGGGGCTCTGCCCCCTGGACCCCACCAAGGGCCCTATAAGGCG